TCTGTTTCCTAAGAAAAGATTTAACTATTATAAAAGCATTATTACCTGCTCTATTATCTAATTCTTAAAAAAGAATTCTAGCAGTATAAGAATACTTTTATCTACTTTACTATCTATTTCCTGAGAAAGACTTTTAATACTATAAAAATATTACTACCCACTTAACTTTCTGTTCTCTGAGAAGAAATCTAATTATTATAAAAGTACTGCCACCTGCTTAACCATCTATTTACTACAGAAATTACAGAGATTTAAATATAATAATAAAATTTATTTTTTTTTTTTTTTTTTTTTTTTATAATCTCTTTTCCTCTAATCTCACCAGCCACACGGAGGGGTAAGAGAACAAGATATATTAAAAAAAATAATATTATAAATAAATATAATATTTATTTATTTATTAATTCCTATTACATCTCCTGCAGAAAAAATACTACTTATATATAAGAATTATAATAAGATTATTAACTATAATACTACCCTTCTCTACTATCTGCTGGCTCAGCGGGATCGCGCAGGTCTAAATATATTAATATAATATTATTTTTTTAATTATTTTATCTTATTTTTATATTATTATTATCTTTATAATCTACTGTCTAGTACATAACCTTTGCTTTCTTATAAGTAACTGTAGGCATGTATACAGACTATTAAATATTAATATTCTCATAAAAAAAAATACTTTTTAAAAAGTATATAATCTAGATAAAGTAAATAATACTAAATATTAAAATAACTACTGGAGTAAATATTATCATGTACCAGGTACTCAGGCCATCTATAAATAATCTCTTACTTTAAGATTTATCATAAAAATATTAATATATTATTTTATATAATGCTTATTAGGGTAACATTTATTATTATAATATTTATTTTTATAATATTTAATAGATCTATTTAAACTTAGAGTCTGTAGAAAAGAGCACTAACCTAATTTAAATTTCTATTATATGTACTAACCCGATTGAATTTCCGTTACATATACTAACTATATTTGAAAGGGAATACTTCTATCTTTAAATCCTTATAACTCCACAGAACAATTAATTAAAGAAATAAAAGTTATATCACTGTATTTCTTGTAAAGAGCTCTATCAAATAATACTACTTACAACTTTATCAGACATCATTTGACTGTTGTCCCGTTGTGAAGATTTCCCTACTAGAATATGTATTAGATAGATACTAATAGTTCTATTAGATAACTAGCTGCTTACAATATTAGTTAATAAAGAAAGTAATTAACTGTGATATTTAATATTATATAAAAGCTAATTAAATAATTATATTTAGTATATTTAAACTAGAATATCAAACATGAGGGGGAAAGGGAAAGGAGTGTAAGAAAATATATATAAATAGTAAAAATAAATAAGCAAAACAAAGTAAACAGAATAAATAAATAAGATTATATATAATCAGCAGAGTAAGTGAAATCTACGTCATGTACTACATCACATGCCTCAGTTACATCACTCACCATCACATTTCATATATTAATTATTATTATATTTATCCAGATATTTCTAAGTTTCTTATTAATATAAAATATTCTAACTTAGATTAAAAGCTTAGAAGAGTAACTGGTAATATTAAATTTTTATTATTAATTTATAAATCTATATTAGAACAGTGTATCTATATATATAAAAATTATAAAAAATAATATTAGAAAATTTAATAAAAAAATTATATATATTAAAATAATATAATTCTAGATTCGTATATATCTGATGTCTGTAGATATTTTGAATTAAATTCAAAGATAGAAAAGATAATATTAAAAAATAAAAAAAATAAATTTAATTCAGACATATAAAATAACTGTAATAAAATTTAAAAATTAAGTAAAAAAGAAAAATATAATTATATATTTTTAATTTTTATATTTTAGTATATAATTATATAAGCAGATATATATATAATATTAAATTCTAGAATAAATAAGTAAATAGTTTATATAAAAATTATAATATTTTATAATAAAATTTTAATAAATATAATTAAATTTATTCTCTGATATTTTCTATATTAAATATATATTTAGAAAATTATATAATTAATTAGGGTGGGTCTCTTGGCATATTCTAACTTAAATTAATAAGAATATATATTTTAAATCTTTTAATAATTTTATATAAACTTTCACGGGCGAGTTCTTTTATCTAGTAATAAGTATTAATACTAAGCTGAGCCTGGCTAAGCAGAGCTCAAAGCTTGAACAGGCAGGTTCCTGATCCTCTAAAGCTCACCCGGCTTGCCTGTTTGCCATGTCTAGGCCGGTAGAAGATCTTATAAATTAAAATATTATTATTTTATATCTTTTATTATTTTATTTAGATCTCTAAGTTATTTTTATAAATATAATTTTTTAATTAAATTTCTTTTTTTATATTATTATTATTTTAATATAATGATATTCTTGTCCCTGGAGAATCTGTATAATTCAGAGATTTTATTATAATTAGTATTAATTAAATATTTACTGCTCGCAGTTTTAGTTATTAAAAGAAATCTTCTAATAAAATTACTAGATGATTCCTGTAAATCTTTTTTAATATAATATTTTAAATATAAAATAATATTTCATTTTATTAAATCTTCTCTAGTAAAGGAGCAATCAGAACTATTAAAAATAATATAAAACATATAATAAGTTTAATTATATATATAAATATTAGTTATTATTTTATTTAGAACTGATTACTGGCCTCCTGCAGTATTAGAGGGACCAGCAAGATATAATATAAAAGTAAATTACATAACCTTGCCTAGTCCATGTGATCAGTGACTGTGTTGCTCACATGACCCGCCGGGTCGCAGTGAACCAGCGGACCCGCTCTAACACAATACTACTTATGAACTTATCAGACATTATTTAACTACTTTCCCGTTGTGAGGATTTCCCTACTAGAATCCCTGGTGCCTTTCTAGGTTACTAATATATTTATTTATTTCTTTTTTTTCTTGAAGCTTGTTATTGGCTCTGCATTGTTTATGCCTCTTTGCACCATGTAAATATGTATTGACTTGCCTTACTTTTCCATGCAAGGATGACAATAAATATGATAAGAACAAGCAATCCAATCTATTAATCAACCAACACAAGACTACATGATAATAATAAACCAGTAAATAACCCGAGAAGATGCTTACTGTATCAGATCTGTCTTCAGGTAATTGGTGATTCACAACTACTGCCTTAAGGTATTAATATAGGAACATGTGCAGGGACCGGGAAATGACATTAGAATGATTAAAATATTGTGTTTTGATAACCCTGAACAGCGTGATATGGTGATAGATTCTCAGCTCCACAATTAAAATCTCAATAATCAATATTAAGAAGGCCTATATCTGATTGTACCTTATAAAAACCTACCAGCAACTATTTACAGCCTTATTGGGTGGGCAAGCATTAGCAATAGCATCATGTGACCATGGGCTCCGCTTTGATCCCGTCTCCCCTCATCTCCTTACCAACCTAACTAAACCTGGCAGACATCTCAACGTTCTTCCAGCTCTCGAGGGGACCTTTCAACAATAATAACACTATTAGACACTTAATCCATATCTAAGTTTTCAAGTCGGAAATATGGACCATCCCAAAGCGAATGCCGAGAAAATATTTATCTCTCCAGCGCTTGATCCACTCGCAGTCGGAGAAATAAACGAGGGGCTACAGCCTCACGAAGAGATATCCAAGATGCTATCCATCTTGACCGATGCTGGGATACAATGTTGCTTTGTTCAAGAACAAGCACTGATTTATTATGGAACTACGCGTGTACCACGCGTACGTGAAGACCCTCTATCGTGTGAGCACCTGAGGGAATGCCATCTAACCATAAGCCATAAGCCCAGGACCTAGTATTATGCATACCGGATGAGCAATTTCAACGTGCGGTTGAATTATTCAGCTCTAATAGCCATATCCTCCAGCCATGTGGTCCAAGCCCGCTTAGGTCGCCAAATTTGCTGAACCACAAGTACCCCAGGTTCAAGGCAATTGGATGGGCGTCTTTCTGGCTCCTAGTTCCGGGGAATTACTGCCACCTGACAGTTAAGCCAGAGAATATCGAGTGGAGTCTAGGTATAATACAGTATCTAAAACTCTGTATATTAGGAAATCTTCTAACTGCCCCAGGTGGCCTGCCGTACCCCAAGCTCTCAGTGTACGTGCAAAGTGCGATTGATTCCAAAAGCCTGCTAGATCTAGAGGAGTTGATAGATGGAATGGACCTCTCAGAAGAGTGGGGTTACAGAACACTTGATCTGGAAGATTATACTGATACACAGTGGCTGGAAGATCGCGCCCAGGCTTTTCGGGATGATGGGGTGGATAAAATGTTTATCTTCATTGACCCAACTCCTGTCTCGCGGAGAGAGATCTGGCTGGATGCAGTCAGAAATAAACAGAGACGCCTGGGCTGGAAGTATTCACCAGATGTTTATGCGAGTAGGTATCGGAAATATGGATCCAGGGACCCAAGGAGTGTCCGCAGGCCTGGTTTGTAGATATTCTCAATACGCAACTTGCTAAATTTAATGCTTATCGAGAACGAAATTCAATAGCTATTTAAAGGGGTAACAGCAAATAAGTAATTACACAATGACAAAGAACATGAGACACATACCAAAAAGCAAGCAAGCAGAGAGCAAAGTAAAAAACATATAAATAATAAAAAGTAAACTCTCTCCTGACCCGGACATATAACATCAAAACCATATACACCGCTGGACATAAGGAGAATACTCTTGCGTATACCCTGGCATACTGCATCCCACGGCTATTCTGAGAAACTTGGATTGACATGCGTGAGTCCATGGATGCCCATACAATCTCCCCAGTGGCTAGGATACTAGGTCCGAGATCACGTGATCTTATCTCACAGGTTTATGAGGGTATGTTAAAGCAATGGGCAAGTGAACAGCATACAGCAATAGGCCAGATTTAGATTGTGATAGGAACAGAAATGGGTCGTAGAGCCCCCTCACTGAGACTTCGAATGAAGATTGTGTATCTCGGGATACTCTTCTACCAGCCTTCGCAGCTCCGCCTCCTTCTCTTCCTTATCTTCAACTTGATGAAGTTGCGCTAACTTCATTAACAGAGCCATTCGATGCTCATTTTTCGCGGACCCAGGTTGGTCTCGTTTAGGGGGTAGGCTGATTGTCTCATTATATACCATGAGTGGCTAGTTTGGATCAGTCAATAGCTATCGAGGGTACAAGAAAGTTAAAGCTTACTGTGTTTCTCAGCTTGTGGAGAGACTGAAGTGAGTACTCAACTTCTGTAAATGAAATAACGTAGCCCTGGCTTTTCTGCATGCCATCAGTATCCAATAGTAGGATGGTAGAGGAGCAATCTGGAAATATCTTATTCTTGGAATATATCCACCACCCCTCCTGCTTAAGCTTGTTAAAGGCCCCGGCGCCCGCACCCAGCTTTCTAATCCCCGTAGCGCCTAGGTTGAATGATACGTCGATTTCCTGATCCTTCCCGCTTGTTATCTTGATGGCGCACTTGTCTGTTATCCATGCTCCCATAACTGTCCACAGTCTTTGTGTCTCGATATCACTTCTTCTTTCAATAAGTGTCTTGGTGTTATCCTCCATCTAATCTTTAATCGGCCCCTTAAAGTCTCCTTGGAACCTATAGTTCCGCACCACAGATGATGTGATGAGCGCCGCACCGTCCGTCGTCGATGAGCTTGTTTTAACCTGGACGGACGCCTTAACGGGCGCAGCAGCCTAAGCACCGCTGGCTTCAGTGGTGAGACGGGAACTCCGGCCTGTCTTGGTCTCAGCGGATCCTGCCTGCCAATGGGTCTCACAGACGTCGCGCAGTTTCAGGTCGTGGCTAAATGGCTTGAACCCGTCCTTTTCGGCCTGCCCTTTCTCGAGCAGGTTAGTGATTTTGTTCTATTCGCCTGTGCGGTCGAAGTAGCTGACTGAGCCTAGTTGCAGGGTAGAGAACTATTAGGGGATGAAGAGAAAGGTCCTGAAAGAGGTTTCTTGGTTTATGATGTTAGTGTATTCTTTGCTTTGGCCGGACATGGTGGAGGATATCACAAGAATTTATTAATTATGATTGTAGATGTGAAGAGAGATTCAATTTTTCTCAGTGACTGACTATCTGTAACGCACGACCGGGCGAGATCCGGTGACTTAAATCTTGGGGAGTCTGAGAGGGGAATTAATGAAGACCCGAAATTACTATTAAAAACATGGAAAGGATTAACATGATCTAAATGTTAATAAATATTAGGAAAAGATCTTCTCTTAGATAGTGGGGAACTAAGTCACGACGCATAGAATTCTTGTAGATCGGATGGTAAGAAAAATCCACTGGAGCTGTATTTTGAGAGGGCAGGATTTTAGCTTGATTATGTAATCTCAGATTACCGCATTTTCTCCCCCGCAAGCGAAGGAAAGAAGTTTGTATTTGTCCTGTACCTGTATCTACAGTTGATAATTTGTTCAAGCAAGGTGATGAAAATGTGTTTGCTTCAAGAGATTGGTGGAGATTGCGGATCCAGATTCAGCTCGCCATCAGACTGTCCAAGTGGGGGTGAGTTCAGGATATTCTGCAAGTTGATGGTTATGGTAAGTGAGATAAACATGTAGAGTACTTCCTGACATCATGGTCTCCAATGTGATGACTGTACATCTCCGAGCAAGTGCTTTAAACTAATTAGATTGACTGCTCGTCCTCATATCACCTGAAAAAACGAGAGTAATACAGCTGATGATGTCACATTGCATCCACTTGATTTCCAACCATCCCGCCTCTACTATCCACACCTGCAAAACACCACCTACTCCGAAGAACGAGGGGATGTGGGTGGCAACGTGGGACTGGTGGGAAGGCAGAAAGCAGCAGACGATCTTGCCAGATCACCAGATCGACCAAGCAATTCTATGGGATTCGATGTTCATTACAGTATTTTTTCAATAAGTCCTGGGATGTGGTACAGCCATTACCACCACAGTTTTGCCTAATTAATCGAGCGGTGACCCCGAACAGGGTTAGTGTACAACGGATTTATTTTCCGGGAATCAAGTGAAAAGTGTGAGAGGTCAAACTGAATTTGAAAATGACTGTATCTCCTATGAATCACTGAGTAGGCCTTGAGGGTTAGGCTCGGAAGGCTATAATATCTTCGAGAAACCATAAAAAGAGCTATTGATGTATTAGCTCGGGTTACCAGGAGAAGTCATAATTGGGCTTGGTGAATCTGTTTTCTGTAGACTGGTTAATTACCAAGAATAATATAAAAAGACTTTTTAAATAAATTTAAAGAGTTTTCATAATTATAGGAATTACTGATTAAAGAGGAAACAGGAATTAGTAAAAACCTAAGATTTTATATAAAGATTGATATATCTATATAAGAAGAAAAAGAAAATAAAAATATAGAAAAATAAATAAAGAAAATATAAGAAATAAAATTAAGTAAATCCTAAAGGGAAATATTCTTATAAAAATATTTATAAGATATCTATAAAGATTTAGTTATAAATATTTTGAATAATTAGCAAAAATTAGGACTAGCTTTATTTTTAATTATAGTATTTAAGCAATACTGTAATATTAGAAAGAATTATATAGAAAAAGAAAATCCTGTTTAACAAGATTTTATAATTTAGAGACTTATTCCGGCTGCAGGCACCCTGCAAGAACATCCTGGCCGCGCTAGTATTAGGTTAATCCAGTATCTATGATCTATCTATCTATCTATCTATCTATCTATCTATCTATCTATCAGTTCCCAGTGTACGTTTGTTTGCTTAGAACAGCGTTCTTGTGATTCTAAATCGCGAAGCGTGTCCCTCGAGAAGTTTTGCTGTGCTGGTAAGTGTCATAGAACAACCTAGGGGAGTTGTACACACAAGGCCAAAAAGACCATCATTACCCGCAGCTACCTGCGGACCCCTAGAATCCTGCTTATATAGACATGTACACACGGGAGTAGGTGGTTGCTACCACCAATCTATTACACTGTCTCCCTCTCCCAATGGCTTCGGCCCGAAGCCTAGAAAACTGCTCACTAGTCACGCTTGCTAGCTGAGCTGCGGGCACACGTAGTCCCATACATTCTAGTACTAAGCAGTATGGCCCCGAGGCTGCTCTGTTCAGCTAGTGTGATGATATCATAACCAAATACTTACCCGAAGTCATGATATCACCGGACTAGAGTACTAAGAACACCTCTCAGCCAGCAAGGGAGCGTTTCGAACGCGAAACCTCCGGCTAACCGGTAGCTGCGGGTAAATTGTCATAGAACAACCTAGGGGAGTTGTACACACAAGGCCAAAAAGACCATCATTACCCGCAGCTACCTGCGGACCCCTAGAATCCTGCTTATATAGACATGTACACACGGGAGTAGGTGGTTGCTACCACCAATCTATTACAGTAAGCGGATCTACTGGTAAAAAGTTGAATTCCATTGTTCTCTTAAGATAATATAATAGTTGTTAATTGTCCGGAGAGGCTGATATTATGTCTAGGTTCCTGTCCTTGTTTTCCACAGGTCAAGCAAAGACCGCTAAGAAAAGGAGATAGAGAATCTGAGTTGGTGGTAGGACAAATGAACCAAGTTTGATGAGCGGAGATTGGCTAATGGCAGGCCCCGTCTATTGCCGTTTTATCGAAGTGCTGTAATATGTATTGAGGTTGATACGCGTATAGAAAAGCGGGAATACTTCAAGTTTTGGTACCCTGGCAAGAAGCAAAACAACCTGTGACTGAATGTGTACACGTGAAATGTGTATGAGAGGTGTGAATCTTGTATCTAGGGAGAACATATGGTACGTTTTGTTATCGAGTTGCTACACAGGTGTCTATTCATGTCTGTGCCAACAACAAACCATGGAATACACGCAGAGCAGCGAGAAACCTAGTATACGCCTGCGCCCATGAGTCTAGGTAGCCTCTTTCCACGATTAGGTTGCCACAGTATAATTCCAACCGCGCATAGGACCGGTGCAGTACGCACTTCCTGGGATGAGAAGTCCCGTACAGTTTGCAGACTGCAGGGAAGGATTAACCTGCAAGAACAAATTGCTTGTGATCTTGTCTTGGACACAAATCTGTGTACAAGAATCCCCAGTAGTGGCTGTATGCCATTTTCCACAATGCTTGGTGGTTCCGGCTGCAACAGTGGCATTATCTGGAGGGAGAACCACCCATGAGCCATAGCCAGAGCTTTCCGTGCCCCAAGGGTTGTAAGACGTAGACACTGGATCTGTCGCGTTGAAAAGCCCCGACTGAGGGGTTAGACACAAGACTTTTCCATAGGCCCAAGAAGTACTTTGAAGATTGGAACAGTATGTATCAATCCAGGGATTGACTTGGCGAAGAGGAATGATTCTCTTCGTGCTATTGTCGAACATGATTGCTGCGTTGGCCTCTTCAATACTACGACATGTGTCGTTCGATTTGAGGACATATGTGTGATCGCATGATAGGGGTAGACACAATTCTTGCCCAACAACGACTTGATTGCAATCGCGTATCTGATCCTGATTACCCATGTACAAGGCTGCAGACGCAACAGAGTAGTCCAGGGCAATAGATGTGCAAGTATCGCCATCCTTGGTTGTATATGAGCTGTCATCTGGGCAAAACGGTTCGTCTTCCGGTTGAGTGACAGAAAGATCATCAGGAATTGTAGTGTTAGAAGTGACACCACAGTTCTTTATAACAGTTTCAAGATTGTACTTGTATCGCTGGTTGTAATAGGAATAGGGGCTTGATTGCATCATTTGAAGCTTAGTTTTGTAGCAATAGGAGCACATCTCATCCTTGGGCATGAGGTCCACGCTTGCAACACGCGTGAACTGGCCTATAACATCTTCAAGAGGTCAGCGGCATCCAACAATAAATCCAGGAATGTCAATCTTACCATTGCAGTATTTGCCTGTCGTCGGGTCCTTGTAACAAGTCTCATTCCATCCCTCCCACATGTTTCCACCCAGAATTGTGGCTGGGTGATCAAGAAGAACGGCACCATTACAATTTGCCTCCGCGTTGGTGAACCATCTCGCTAGTGAATCGCCGCAACTTTGATCACAAACCAAGTCGGTCAAAGTATCGTTACCCAATGTGCCGTGGTATTGAGGCTCTCCAAATTGGAATACCTGGAGATCACACTTGATAGTAGCGGTGAGAGCAGTGATGCAGGCATCCGAAAAGGTTGAAGGCAGCATGTTGGTGTCATAGATCGTGAAACCTTCGAAAACCCGCTGCCCGGTTGTGTCAGTCGATCCTTTCAGCCAAGCAAGAATCGACGACATAAACCCATTTTTATTATCATTGGCGAGAGTGGGCTTCTCGTTTACAGGACTGATCATTTCGACAATAGCCTTGGTAACCAAGTTATAGATCCAGAGATCTTGGCTTTCTTCGATCTCAAAGGCTCGATCTTGACAGTTCTCAGTAGCAAGACAGTCCTGTGAGTATCTAGAGAACCAGCTATACAAACCTGCGCCAAGTATATAGACACTGGAGGAGTCCACGATTCGGACGGCCCACGAGACCGCACACGTAGCTGGTGAAGAGATTGTGCAGTTGTCAAAGTGAGGATCATTTGGAAATCCACCAGTCACAATGGGCAATGGCGCTCCAGGATGGGACTGGAAATATGGTGACTCGGTTTGAATCATACCAGCAATCACATTCTTGGAATCAGAAAACTGGTATTGGTATAGAACGTTGTGTTCAGAAGCAGTCCCATAAAGCCAGGTAGGACCTTGACTTTCAATAAGAATGCCGCGACCAGAGAAGATGTCAATCTGAGCCTCATCCGCAGCATCCAAGTCGTGATCGGCAACCCAAGCCCAGGAATTCTCGATATAAGCGGAGGCTTTAGAAGTGACATGAAGGAGGGCAGATGCACCAATACAGTCGGTGTTGATACCGCCGCCCTTCGGACATTTGTCACCCTGTAGCTCTGAACCTACAGCTCCACCAACCCTGAAATGGGAATCTAAGTAAATATTGTCAGCACTCCAGTTGGAAAAAAATTTGTATCACTGGATTTGTTCATACCCCAAAGACCAGCTGAGCCGCGTGTAATCTCATGAACGTTCCATTGAACCAAGATGGCACCTGCAGTAGCTCCAGACACAGTAAACATCATGTCCTGAATCTCAACTACTCCCGACTCATCTACCTCACCGACCTGAACGACCGGTCGGGCATGTAACTGATCTTGGAAATTCTTGCCCTTCCCCATAATCTGTGGCCAAGCCTGTCCGATGATTCGAGACCCAACAGGGATTTTGACGGTATTAGTAACAATATAGACACCATATGGAACGTAAACAATAGATGACATATTTGCAGCTGCAGCGAAAATACTGTTTAATGCTGTGGTGTCATCAGTCACACCGTCGCCTTTAGCACCGGCGGTCTTGAGGTTGATAATTTGACTCTGTCCGATATTGATGTATGTGGGACGACGACGAGTATAAAAGTTGGGCTTGACATATGCCAGCTCAGTTGATAGAAGAGAATCAGTACGATTCATAGGGGAGATGTTGGCTCCATTGATGAAAGAACTTTCCCCATTTGCGTTGGTAACTCGGCCAAAGCCCCAGTTGTCAACTAGAACTTCGTTGCCACCCGCGAGGAGAACCTTTGACAAGACACTATCAGTGACGGAATTTTGCACATTAAAGAATCCAACGTTTTGCAAAAGAAGAGATGTTGAATTCTCGGCCAATAAAGAGGTGACAATGCCCGTTGGTGTGTTGGCTATGATAGCGTCCACGAGAATGAATGAACCGAGAGACTGTCCGGTGCTCGCAGCTCCGCCCGCCTGGTGATATTTCGTTAGCTTGTGGTTGGAGTATATCTAGTGTACGAGATAGGATGTGATAGAGTTTAATGTGCTTTAGGGAGGAGAGAGAGAGCTTACACCTCCAGTCAAAAGTATTCCGGTTCCACAGGACTCGATGACCACATCTTGCATTGTCCAAGCCCAATCCCAGTGAACTTGGAGAGCCGTCTGGCAATTCACAAACACTAAATGACTTGTAGTGAATTGCTGATTACCAAAATATGCCCTAAAGATATAGTCAGCTTTGTGATTAAAAAACTAGTGGTGGTAGATCATTCAAGTGCTCTACATACCCAAAGTTACCTCCAACGAATGTAAGGTCAGCTAGAAATCCACCACTGCCATTCTCCATGTAAATACCCTATCATCAAAGTCAGCCAACGAAGAATTCAAGAAGTAGGTTCTCTGTTCATACCTGTTGGGTATTTCCTTCGACATTTTGCAGCATATAGAATTCAATGTTCTCAAGAGAGGTACCCTGTGCGACTTGCCAGTGAATGGCGCAGACGTACGCTGATTGGTCAGTGCGCGTGATATCCATTTTGAAATTCCTGATACTTCGTAAGAAGTTATTAGTGTTGAGATACCTGTACAAATATTAGCGAATCAGCACCCATTATGCATACTCATGCAAATGCTGAGTGACAAAACTAGTACCATTCTTCCGAATCACCAACATAGACATCGGAGGTAATCACACCAAGGCCAACGAAACTCGAAGCAGCCAAAATTGTAGGGAGATTGGTAGGCCAAGTTAGAGAAAAGAAGACAAGTTAGTCTCTACCAAAGGATGGTCAAGAGAATTGATACATACATCTCCTAGCAACTGTGTGTTGTAATACTGAATTACAGGACTGCTGACAAGATAAGTACCGGAAGGAAACCAGACGACAGCTGGGTATCTGGTACTAGATTTGCAATCGGCACCGCATCGGTTACCGTCAGAGATTGCTCGATTAATGGCAGCAGTATCATCAGTAACACCATCTCCTGAATGAATGGTTAAACCGATCATCCCATAATAAAATTTCGGCCTGGATTATGTTACGTACCTTTAGCTCCATAGTCCATCACATTTCTCCAGACCTGTTCGTATTGTTAGAGAAGTCAATTCCTGGTATGGAATGTATGGTACCTTGTAGCCAAATGCTGCATAGGGGCTAGCACCATTCTTCTCTACACTTGCCATCCAATACGATGAAGTGTCTCTTTTACTGACGCCTTCTTCAGTTGGTTCTTGAAGACCGTCTGGCTGTCCGAAGGAAGTGTATTGATCCAATCCGTTCGAGCGAGATAGCTTCTGGACCATTGCGTTCGTGTCATTTGTGCCTGCACTCCATTTCGCGCGAACTTTTGATGCAATAGAGGCATAGTCAATGTCCCAAGGGGTTGGCTTCTCAGATTCCGCAACCTCCTTTGCAGCCTTGACTATTGCGGGTGATAAGGTGTAGCCGTATTTTGGGTTCGACTCCAGTGAGCTTAAATCATTGATAGATGAGCGTCTATTCAGCTGAGCCAGTGATACATTCTTCGTAGAGTCTGAGTAGTCTGAAAGCGGGACATCGGTCAATCCTTTGTCCTGGGAAGTATTATCTTGGAATTCCCATTTGTTGAATTGAGAATTCTCCACACGAAGCTTGTTGGCAATTCTCAAAGCTTTCAGAGCTTCTTCAACAATATGTTTGGGAGAGCCGTCAGACTCGGCACTCTCGGTCCCATTATGTCGTCGGTAAAGATGGTGGTGGGTGTGATGTCCATGCTGAGAAGCTGATATGCCAGGCAACCACCCGAACAAGAAAAAGAGACACAAGACCCCGACAAGTGGTCGAAGCATCTCGGCGGCAGTTCTTCAGTTTGTCCAACACGGGGAAAACTGTGTCGTTGGTCACTGGAAAGTCTGCGTTGGGATTGCCTGGCTCTATGTGTAACTTATCGAAGAAACACAACCGAATAGCCTTTGGTTGGCACTAATCATAGGTGGCTAATGCGACCCTGCACAACACCTCTAAGACATCCCAAGGACGCTAGTTTGTTTTCATGCACTCCGAGTAAGTCAAGTATATTCTCCACAGCTCATTTTTTATGTCGGTCAGGTGCCGGCCTTGTGGGTTGTCTAGGCGAGGTGCAATTTCCTTCGACGAGGCCGCACAAGGTGCCCTGAAGGTAGCATTAGTTGTCATGATTTCTCCACATAAGTCAATTAGTATCATACTAGTATACTTCGTGCGGTGGTCTCGGTTCTATCATGAATACCAAGCCGCTAAAATAGTGAACTGCCAAGCCTACTCCGTTCTCAGGGCCAAGGTTCAAAAATATGTGGCTTGGCTAGAGCTACATGACTAGGCCTTGACAAGTCACGCCGATTTGGCCCCATCTTGGCATTACCATGCCGAACACTTTCCTATATAGGTAATTATCTAGTCTGAATAGGTATGGTCGCAGCACCACAGCACCAGAACCAGTAATTAGCCGGTACTACGGGACCTGTCAAAGCCTATTCGTGACTAGAGGAGCGAGTTACCACGGAACTCGCCTACCCCTGAAATGAGCCACGCTTTTTGGTTCTTTGGGGATTCAGGTATTGAAATCTTACCATTTGGAAACAGAGAAGAAAAACAAAGCAAACCTCCAGGGCCCCCGAGATCCAATTGAAAGACCACCCACGTCACATTGGTAAGCGTATGAGTATGCCTGTGTTCTCTGGTTGAGGGCATTTCTGGTTGAATATTAGGGATTCTGACCATGCAATGCACCTTGGCAGTATTTCCAAAGTCACCGTCGGTGCTAGTAGTAAACTGACGCGTGCTCGAATGAGTCCTCTCACAGGTGGAACGCGAAAGGAACAATAACAATACTGACAAACATGTCTCACATACGGATGCTCGAAAGTTACTACGTAGCGGCTTTAATGAATTACGCCAAGCTTTCCGCGTCCCCCGGGCTCCAGTAGTTCCGGTAAAACACACGCCAAGACAAATGGGTTCGGACCCTGAAAACCCTTAGATTTAGATGCGGGTGAGGCAGATCCTGGGAGGAAAAAGCAAAGATCATCACTATAAGCAATGAATACGATTAAAATTTTTGACAATCGTGAACTTAGTTGTCTCTTGCAATTATTTCCCTCGTGAGAAACTTGGAAGAACGTTGTGATTATCACTGAGATTGTATCTAGAACTACGAAATATCAGGCAGGTACTCATTTTGGCGCCAAGGAGAAGAAGTGCCGGTCAGGGGCTTCAACTAGGCAAACTTACTAGCTCTTTGTTTGGGTTAGGCGAGCGGACGAGTATGAGTCGGTCTGAAATCTCTGTACATTTTCATTTGGCCCATTAACGACGCTAATAAGATTGCTATGTTACATCGACTAATGTTTTTGATCGCGTTCAACTTCTTCTAGAGCTAACTTGGCAGTAGTGGGACCATGCATAGCAATTTCCGCTACAGATGGCAAGGTACTCCGTACAGCGCTGCCACTTTTGGAGCTAACTGCGTGGTTTCTACGCTAGCTAACTACTCGCACGTTTCTGTTCAATCGCGAAAAAGCATCGAAGCTAAGATGAAAATAACGACAATGTCTTAGTACACAGTGGTTCGCTTAAGCTAGTCTTTCTTAGAGCTTACAAATGGTACGAGTAGTCCTGGAAAGATAACTTAGGGATGCCTTTCGTCGTTTACCATTAGTATAGTCCCCATCATATCTTGGAAGCTCATCAAGAGTTGGTTTTACGACCCATTTGGTGCTTCTACTTCTGTTATGGGAACCATGGGCTTCCTTTCACGCCCCCAGCTGGTGTATCTTTTGTTTTTCCTGTGCTTCCTCATTGCTCAGACCGCAGGACAGAACTGTAGCAAAGAGAGCCCCTGTGCAACTGGATGCTGTTCGAAGCATGGTTACTGCGGCACTGGTGATGAGTTCTGTGGCGCAGACTGTGTTGATACCTGCGACTACAAGCTGGGTTGTGATGCCAACAACCCTTGTGCACAAGGCTGTTGTAACAAATTTGGATTCTGTGGACTTGGACCAGACTGTAAGTACTCAATAGGAAGTTTTTGGATCACTACATACTTGGTTTTCAATATCTAACAAAAGCCCTTTCTTAGTCTGCGGAGATGACTGTGTTGCTAGCTGTGAAAGAAAAGCAGAATGTGACCCGGGCTTTGGGTTAGATTGGTCTGAAAAATCATCTTGTCCTCTGAACGTATGCTGCTCAAAGTTTGGCTTCTGTGGAACAACGTCAGAATTCTGTGGGAAGAAAACAGTGAAACAGCCCTCTTGCAATAATTCAACGCACACATTAGAGCGTGTAGTTGGATACTATGAGACTTGGAGCACTCGGCGTCGATGCAAACAGTTCTGGCCGGAGCAAATTCCTTTGGGAATTTATACCCATATCAATGTGGCCTTTGCAGTCATTGACCCAGATACATTCGAGGTTCGACCTTCTTTGACTGCAGATATTGAGCTATTCAAGCGAGTCGCCCGTCTCAAGCAAGAAGATCCTGATCTCAAAGTGTATATCGCTATTGGAGGTTGGAGCTATAATGACCCTGGCCCAACTGCAACGACATTTTCTGACCTGGCCGCATCGACATCTTATCAAAACAAGTTCTTTAATTCCCTCACAAAGTTCATGTCCACATATGACTTGGATGGCGTAGACATCGACTGGGAATATCCAGCAGCGGACGATCGAAGTGGTCGTCCAGCAGACTTTGCCAACTTCCCCAAGTTCTTGAAGAATCTCAAAGCGGCACTCAAAAGAACTGGCGGTCGAGATGGTCTTAGTATAACTCTGCCTGCCTCTTTCTGGTACTTGCAACACTTTGACATCGGCAATATGAAGAAAAGTGTGGACTTCTTCAATATCATGACCTACGATCTTCATGGAACTTGGGACAAAGGAAACAAATGGACTGGTGAATTCCTCGACGCGCATACCAATCTCACTGAGATTAAAGCTTCTCTGGATCTATTATGGCGAAACAATATTCCACCGGATCAGGTAGTTCTTGGAATAGCATTTTACGGCAGAGCATATACAATTGCAGACCCATCATGTACTAAGCCTGGCTGCCTTTTTGCGTCCGGGGCGGAGGCTGGAGACTGCAGTCATGAGGTTGGGATTCTGATGAACTCCGAGATTGACGAGATTATCGCGGGAAAACGCCCCAGAATCACATACGATAAAGATGCTGCAGTGAAAATGATCACATGGGATGATAATCAATGGGTATCCTATGATGATATCAACACCTTCAAGCTCAAAGCCGACTTTGCCCGAGGGAAATGCTTAGGTGGCCTTATGGTATGGGCAGTAAGCCATGACCATACCAATGGGACTTACTCCCTTGCCCTGGGAGAAGCAGCCCAACGCAAGTTTAAAGCTCTGCCCGACACAATCAAAACAGACGACACAATCAAAATCAAACATGATCAGTGCAAATGGACAAACTGTGGAGACCTCTGCCCGGATGGATGGGTTCTGCTCCGCCGTCATGACGATGATAGACACCATGATGGTGAGTGGATGCTTGATGATGGAGGCTGTATCTTCAAAAATCAGGACCATCGCCTGTGCTGTCCTCCTGATCAAGATGCTCCGACTTGCGGCTGGTACACTTTCAACAACGGTGACTGTGAAGGCAAGTGTCCAGATGGTAGTTTTGAAATTGGCGGAACCGACCGTGGATGTTCAACTGCATTTGGTAATTACCAAGCTGCCTGCTGTACGAGTGGTCAAAAGAGTACTGCGCTCTATGAGAAATGCGAATGGGGTGCTTCATTCGAATGCGATTCATGGAAATGCCCAGCAGAAAAGACCGATGTTCTCCTTAAGTCATGCAATGGCAATGGAGGATCGGCTTGCGGTGGCGACTGGAGAACCCACCTGAATGAGGAGCGCAAATATTGCTGTGACAGCTCTGATGAAAACATGACTTTCGACGACTGCGAGTGGCTTGACGACTATAGCGAAACAGGATACCAAGTCATTCCTGCCGATGGTGGTAGTGGAAGTGGTGGGAGTGGCTACTGCTTCTCAAGCTGTCCCAAGGACAAAGTACGGGTAGCTATGGAGCACTACAATACTTGTAACAAAAAGACTGGCTCCCGTGCAAAGTGCTGTTCTCCCAACTACACCACGACCCAAAAAAAGGTAGACCCTATGGTGGAGCTTTGGACGGCTGATCTTAAAGACTGGTTGGAAAATCCTACATGCTCTACCGGCTATGGGTACGGCTACGATGATACATTTGGTGCGGGCTACGATAAAAGAGGCTTCACAGACATGTTGCCTATAGAATATGCACCTCGGTATGCCGGCATCTCGGGAACATCTTTGGAGAAACGTCAAGATCAACAATCATTCTTCACAAGCAATTCAATTCTAATTGTTGCGACTGATGTCATCTACACCTATCGCATGACGAGCAGGACAAACAAAGCCGTCAAGGAAATCAAGGTGTGGAACGACGTAATTGCCGCTCGGTTCACTTATCTAGCGACTTCCACCCTTATACCATTCTTGAGAGATGTTACAGGTGAACTGTTTTCTGTAGTTGCAGAGGATCTTGCAGGTCGCATCATTTGCAACCTAGAGTACTGGAACCAGATGATCAAGGATTGTACAGCTCCCAGTACTTTAGATGAAGTCTGCGCTATCAGCGATCTTGACGGTTTTGATGATGAATACTCGATTGACCCCGATACCTACGGAACGAATGGTGCATCAACCAAACGAGCTCTTCACAGTCTGGACAAACGTGATGGAGCTCCCAGGGATTTCACCGTTGATTGCGGTACTGACCCAATTACTGGACAGCAGCGAATCATGATTATTACATCAGTGGCCTATCCAAATGGTGGCAATGGTGACAACCTTGCAAATGCCAATGGACTAACAGTGCGATTTGCGGTCGCAAATCAACATGTATGCACTGATACCTCTATTGATCCTAACGCGCCCAACAATCTTTGGACGT